GCTTTCTGGGCTGCTTGTGCACACTGCAGCTCATGATGAATTCCTCACCCACCATCACCCCCAAGTCTTACTTCTCACTGCTGCTCTCAATGACTTCCCCACCCAACCTGTAGGTGTGCCTGGGATTGCCACGGCCCAGATGTTGGACTTCAAGAGGTTTGCATTGTTCCACCTCTCAAGCTTGTCAAGGGCCCTCTGGATGGCACATCCCTTCCCTCCAGCATGTTGCCTGCACCCCTGGATTATCTAGTCCCAACCCCCTGCCCTGGGCATGGACATCTCCCACCAGAGCAGGCTGCTTAACGCTCCATCCAACCTGGCTTTGAACACCACCAGGGTTGGGGCAGCCACAGCCTCCCTGAGCAGCCTGTGCCAGCATCTCACCACCCTCACAGGAAAATACTTTTTCCTAATTTTTAACCCAAATTTCCCCTCTTTTAAGTTGTACCCATTAGCCCTTGTCCTGTCACTGCAGCTCCTAACAAAGAGTCCCTCTCCAGCTTCCCTGTAGCCTCTTCAGATACTGGAAGGCTGCTCTGTGGGCTCACTGCTACAGGGAGAAATAGGGAGAAATAGGTCTGTCGTGTCCATAGAGATGTTAATAGCGTTAGTTGTCACAGTGAGGTTATTTTAGGAGTATTTAGTAGGTTTTCATCACTTTTATAGTTCAATGAGCTGCTGTGCGCAGCCAGAGCTGTAACTCGTTTCCTGCTGGAGTTCCATGCAAGAGCAAAGCCTGGAGAGCATTGCTTTCCCAGCAACACATCCAGGCTTCCTCCTCGGGGCAGGCAGCAGAGCTTTTACTCTACTGCCTTTCCGAAGAGCTACAAGGGAAGAATTCTTTTTTCCTGTACAGAAATGTTAATGCTCTGTGGAGTTACTTCTCAGCTTCCATAAGCAATTTTCAGTTTATTTCCCATGCATGTCACGGTGCAGTCCCTTTATGAGCAGTGCAGCACAAGCCTCACTCCCCACCCAGCAAACTCTGCTTTCACATGAGTATTTATGTGGCCTATTAAATCTGTCGTGTCATGTGCATGGCTCTTGCAGGCAATAGGCTCAAAATGCAAAGACGATGTATCAGAATTCCATTTTCAAACAGCAATGTTTCAATAAATTTTCAAATAAATTTTAGAGAGACAAATCATTCATTATTCATGTATGTAGCTAAAGAAAAGTCTCTGTTTTCAAAGCCTGTCAGTTGCTACAGAGGAGAGGGTCATGAATTCTGCTGCTGTCTTCCTCGTGAGCAAAGGGAAGCAGTGATATGGCAGTCTGCATGACATGCATGCAATTAGCAAAGATCTCTTCATCAACCAGAAATATGCCCAGGATGCTTGGCTGGACAGGCCAGTCATTAAGGCAATTAAGTTTCTGCAAATCCAGAAACATGAGTGGTGAAAAACAGCCACCAGTCCCAAATTTCTATGTCTCTTGAGGAGACTGAATGTCATATGAAAGAAATACAAGGAGAATTAAGTAGTCCATCTCAGGCAGTCCCAGTGTCTGGCATCACCTCTGCTATCAGGGATTGTTTCCACCCTACAACACTCCAAGAGTGGCTTTCTGTAAACATTAAACAAGCAAGACAAGGTTTATAGAAAGAGGCAATGCCTTTTATTAGACCAATTTGGATGACTGGCAAAATGAGAGAGGGTTTCAAGTATATAAAATATCTTCAGTGGAAATAGAATTCTTCAAACAAAACAAAACACGCAAGGTCAAATACAGGTTGGAGTCAGTTGCTCAGAGCTGAATTAGATGCGTATCACATAATTTTTGAAGTGGAGGTCATTGATTTCTGCAGACTAGAATGGATATTAATAGGAAGCAACAGGGAGATGGTAAGCTCCTTGGGATATCCTTGGGATAAAAGAAAAATAGGCAGTTTATAGCCTGTGGAACACAAAAGGACTAGTTAAGGAGGAGAGGGAAGGGAAAATATATGCAAGAACACCGGTAGTAAGTCTGTGGGTTTTGATACACAGTACATGTACCCACAGACCTTGCTGTGCCCAGAGAGCAGCCCATAAGAGCCAGACCTTTTCCTGCTTCATGGATGTGCCTACCTGGATGGAAACCAGCAGTCAATGAATAAAGTTAGGTAAGTACACAAGACTGAGGCACATTGTGCAAAGATGACTGAAGGGCTGAAGATTTTCTTAAGAAACATGTTGCTGCCAGCAGGGTGTTTCACAGTCTTTGCTTTAGGGAGTTTCTGTGTGGTCTGTATGGTCCGTGGTACCTTGGACTGCATGTAGGAACAAGTCTGCATAAAGGCAGCACAAGCAGATTGGTCCTTCTTCACAGTTTTTAGAAACATTGGTGTAAGTCCAAATCTACATTGAGACTTCCCTGACTTTTTCTCTCTTGCTCTTCCCAAACTACGTTTCCCCAACGTAAGGGGATTCTCAGCTGTAAAACAAATCCAGAGCTGTCGTGGTGCCCCACCCATGTTCCCACTGCTGTTCATTCTGTGCGTGGTGAGGAATGCAGTGAGGTTGGAGATGTGCAGCAGAGCACACGGCTGCGAGTGCCAGCCCCAGGCTGTACCCAATAGCACTAGCCCGTGCTGACGGGGCAGGAGCAGTGCAGCAGCACCACAGTGACCAAGGAGGTTTCACTGTTGCCACCTCATCCATTTATGTGCCCAGCACTCTGAGGGCAGAGCAGAAGACACTGACACTGCCACACTTAGCCAAGGTGACGCCTGCAATAGAGGATACGAGGAGCAATGCTTTGTGGTAGTATTTATTTAGGAACCGTGAGCAACTACAGCCGTAGCGTTCTCATCTTTGCAATTCTGATGGTTTAACAAACAGGGAGAGCATTAGCATATTTTTATTAAGGTACAAAATACACCCTGTTGTTGCCTAAAACATTTAAAAAAACGTGAGGAAAGCTCTGTATGCTCTAAATCAGATTCAAAACCTTTCTGTATAAGGAATTGTGGCAATACTGTGTTTAGTATAACAAGAGGTTTTTATCAATCTCAAGGAAAAGACATGCTGGCAATCTGAACTTAGCAACAAAGAGTAAAGCAGTTAAAAACCATCGTGTCATCCACATTAGCTGAGCTTCGGATGTAGAAGAGCAAATCATATGAAACACATACACAACTAGGTAATATCAAACAACCTAAGGTTGATAATGTACACACCTGTATTAAAAGTACACTGACTACTTAATGGTGAGGATTTAAGGTAATGTTTGTTTTTTAAAAGAGGTAACCTTTGAAATGCAAATGGTTGCACTTTGCACACAAAAAGTGGAAAAGAAAAAGAATCACTTTTGGAATGATACATAGATATAAGACACACTGGTTTTGGATTATGCATATCACCTTGCAGCCTCTGATATTACCTCTGAACAACAAAAAAAACCAAACTTAAAAAGTGCCAATATTGTGAAAGGAAAGCAAAGTTACTAAGTCTGAGTGCATTAACCATTTCTGAGGGGGAAAAAATGGGGTTTGGGGGTTTTTGTTGTTTGTTTTTCTGCGTTTTTAAAAAACGCAACAGCCTTACTGGTGCAGGTTCAAGACAAAAACAAGACAGTCAAGCTCATAAGGGAGAAATAGGTCCTATATAGGTTAAGATTCTTTGGAAACTGCTAAGTATAGAGGAGTTTGTAATCCAGGCTACTATCTTTTTGGCTACTCCAAAAATCTGTGGGAGTTTCCAGCTTATCATCAGTTGAAATCTGTTTTGCAACTGCTAAATAAATGCAAGTAAAACTTTAACTAACCTGGGATTCCATTCACGCATGTGCTCATAGAACTCACTGATTGTGCAATAACCTGTTTTTTCACAGCAGCAGATATGAATCATAATGACCAGAACAACAGAAAATATTCTCAGTCTTTGTGTTTTCAGTCTGTTTTTTAAGTAGGCAGATGTAACTGCACTGAAGTGACAGGCTCCATAAGGGAAAGATGACAAAGTGTGATCAGCTGGCTAAAAGCAAAATGAGGAGCATCTCAGGAAACCACCTGGATGTTTAATGTTAGCCAGTATTACAATGGCACTCACAGCACACTGACAAAGAGCAGTAAATGTGTTTGCAGTTAGGACTGTGCAATTCTGCTTAAAGCAAATGAAAAATGAATCATGCCAACAAACAAATTGCAATGCTGGCTGTGTCAAACCTTCCCTTATAGCAGATACTGCTCAGGGAGCAGCCTATTCCTTAGGACTGGAGAGATTCACTGCGTGTCTGGCCAACGGTTCCTTGTAAAGTAGATCTTGGGGAGCCAACTTAGCTGCAGTTTTGGCTAAGGAAAGTGATGGTATAGAGCAATGAGCTCAGTACTGTTTTTCTTTAAGGTGTTTAGAATATAACTGTAAACTTGTTTTCAATACATTTGATTTTAAAAATGGACTGGGCAACTTAGTTTATGACTTGCTTGAAGTCAATCCAATGATGTTAGCAACTTAGAAGTGCCTGCTGATTTGAATTAATGCCCATACATAAAGCAAACAGGTATCAACTGATCATGCTGAAATAACAACCCCCCAAAGACCTATGTATCACACAAGGTGCTTTTGATAACTTGGTTTTCTGAGCCTTATAAGGAGAGTCTTTAAATATAATTTTTCTTTTTTTTTTTTTAGCCTTGTTTCATTCTTCCTCCTCCTCATCTTCTTCTTCTCCTTCTCCCTCTCCTTCTTTTCCCATTGTTTCCACGAGGAGGTCTGCGGTGCACGTGGCTTCCCCAAGGCTGTTAACAGCTTTGCAGGTGTATTTGGCATCATCGTCCCCACATACTTCAGCAATAGTCAGAGAACAGTTCCCTTCCTCATCATAATCGATCTGGAAGTGACGTGACTCCTTGACAGGCTGATCATCCTTGTACCACATTACCTCAGGGTCAGGATAGCCTGCAGGAGCAGAAAGAGATCAGCAGCTGTAATAAACGAGTATCAGCTCATCAGTAAATACTTTTAGCTCTAATTCCCTCTCTGCGTATGAATGTGCCAATATGTTGATAGACAAATATTTCATTGAATTCTATGTGAAATAAATGTAGATGATCCGAGGCTTTTTTACTTCACATTTACCTGAAAAAAACTTATTCTGAATAGCAAAAATTGAAAGTGAGCACTGCAGCACTCACTAGATCCCTCTTTCCACTCCTTCAGCAGTGCTGGCAGACAGCTTTCTGTGTGCTGCAGACATCAGCCAGTGAGGGACTCCTGACTGTGTGTTTGAGGCTCACCTTACACTGCAGCTTTTCTGGAAACCACAGT